CATCATGCCAACTACTCTTGGTCTGATGCCAGTGGTTACCTTGCCATGGTACCGGATGCAAAAAAGCAGATTTAGAGTCTTGCTCGTACTTTGTCATCGGTATCTCGTCTTCGTCCGTTCGTTCGAGAAGACCTTCAGGCCGGTCGTGGATCGTACTGGCTGTTCCCGAGCAACACGGACCCAGACACAGGACTTGCAGACTCTGGAACTCATGAAGCTCCGCATGGAGTTTTTCTTATTTTGACGACGATGCTTCCGGATGACCCAGGCACCTGCTTTGCTGTGCCCTTTGTGCATAACACCGTCCCTCAGGATTTGTCGTCGATTGTCAGTCAGGAGGTTATTCGGCCATCATACTTCGACCGCGCGGATCGCACATGGGTGCCATCCACAGGATTCTACGGCCGAATGTCTTGGCCGAAACCTGCTATTCGGCTACCAAAGCTCGACGGCTCCCAGCCGGAGCATTTGAATGCCATGCGGCTGATTGGCGCTCGACGCTTCGGAGGGAAAGAAGTTGACACTAGGACATGCGCCGCCTTAGGATGGACCTTTGTGAGGCAACACACTCACTACAAGGCCGCCCACGCCTCCGATCAGACCTTTGGGCATCTCTGTGATTTGATTCACGGCCAGGACGGCCGGTGGATGTTTCGTTCAAGTCGTAGTGTCTTGGCAGGAACTGCTGTCTTCTGGACATCGTGGGCACGTGATGCATAAGTGCTTGTTGTTTTCAGTTCGAGGGTTTCTTCCTTTGATTCTGCATTCTTCCTCCATCGCTATTGGCCAAGATTAATTGCATGCCCACATTTTGAGTGCTGCACTCCGTCGTGGATCGCATGATTGAAAAACAAGTTTAGAAGATGCCTCAGCCAGCTTTCTCGTGTCGCTATTGCATTGCAACTCCATGTGATTTTGCATTGCATCGAATTGATCCTTTTGCCAGGTCAAATGATAGCATGCCGGCCATAGCTCGTAGCCGCAGCCCCTTTGACGTAGATGCGGATGGTTTCCATTTTCAGTCATTGGATGAGCTGGCTGTACGCTTATATCAAGTTCTTGACCGCATCCCCCGTCGAGTCTGGATGAATTACAATCGCAAGAGGGTGCGATCTACAGAGCAGACACATGCAGACCAGCTCTTGCTTGGCTTATATTATATGCAGTCACGAGGACGGCTGCAATTTACAAAGAACACATTCCGATTTCCTGGACTTACAAAATTGATCCTTCGGATGTTACATTGTGCTCCCCAATTCTCAGGTTTGGCGGTCACAAGTATTCAAATCAATCGCAACGTTCGCACTATTCCACATCGAGATTCTAATAACTATGGCCCAAGCATTGGATGGGCCATTGGAGACTGGACAGGTGGAGAATTATTCGTAATGGACGATCGAGGTTGCACCGCATATATTGTTGAAGATTCCAATTGCTCCGTTGCGTCCTGTGGCGATCAGATACAAGGGAGGCTTCTGGATGTCAGACAACCTTGTTGCTTCGATGGGAATGTGGTTCATGCTACTATGCCCTTTGCCGGAAACCGCATTATGATGGTCTTTTTCTGTGTCAAACAGCATGTTCCCGTTTCACCTCAGGCGTCATGTCTCTCCTTCGCTCGTTTCCTCGGTCTTCGCGTCCCTGTTCTTTCCTCCCCTCCTTTGTCTTCTTCTTCTTGTGTCTCTCCTCTCTCTTCCCCTCTCCTTTCCTTGCCTGTGTCGCCTTTCTTTCCGTCGTGTTCTTCCTCGTCTCTTGCTGCCTCTTCTTCTTTGCGCGCTTCTCCTCGTCCGTCCGCTCGTCCCCCGTTGTCTCCTCCTCTTTCTCCCGCTTCCTCTGTTGCTTCCCTTGCCTCTTCGTCTCCCTCCTTTTGTTTCTTCCCTCCTTCTCCTTTTCCTTCTTGTTCTTCTTTTTCCTGTTCTTGGTCTCGTTCCTCTTCCCCTTTGTCTTCTCGCTCTTTTGTTTGGTCTCCCTTTGATCCTGCCGTCGACGCTGCGGATGACGCTTTTTCGAGCGACATGTCATGGGAGGCGTAAAAAGACCCCTTTCGATTGTGCTTAACGTGCTTGCACAGTTTGTCATGAGCTGCACTTTCAAACTGTCCTGATGCATGTGCTCGCAAGGGTATTGGTAACCATTAACTGCAGCATGCCCTGCGGCCTGTTTGTCGATGTTTGGAAGGAGGACGTACCTCGCCACTGCATTCTCTCCTTTCTTATGGTGTGCAGCAGCGTGCATGTAAGTACGCAGCGATGTGACAATCCCAGTTATTGTCGGACTCATCAGTTCGCTCAGTGGCAACGATGGCTTACATACGGGATGGGGCGATGCTTTCGGGCCCACAATTTTCATGGACTGTCCAATGATGCTGCCACATTCAGCTTCACACATCTGCTTCCACGATGCAGTGATTCTTTCTTGCGGATCTCTGTGCAGTGTCGCGTTCAGACCTTACGACATATCAAATTTCTGATGAGACTGCGAATTTGTCAAGATTCTCGACTGACGCCTTTCTGTACATATCAGTTTATGGGCATTGAGACCTGTTGGTGCCAGCTTCATCAAGTCACTTTTTCGGCATGTGAGTTCCCTGATGTAAAGGTCAGAGTTGTATAGTCCACTTTGAGTTCAAATTCTTGCTGTGCGGAAATGAATAGCTGCATTTTTGTCATGTGCATGCATGAAGTTGCAAGAGTGCTTTTTATGGCAGATGTTGGTCCAAGCTAGAGTGTATGATCACAAGATTGCCAATGTCCGGATCGCTGCTGCACTGCACTGACATAATCAGAAGTCTGGACGGAGAACAAGTCAAGGCTCTTTTTCAGATTCTGGGGGATCCGCGGCAAACAGAAGTGCTTCTTTCACACCTTCGACGTCGGATTCAGGCAGATGCGGATACCGTTGTTGCGAGACATCTTGGTACGCTTCCTCCTTCTGCTCCTCTGTCTGCTTCTCTGCCTTCCTTCTCCTCTCTTCCCGCTTCTCCCCCTCCTCCTCCTCCTGCTCCTCCTCCTCCTCCTCCTCCTCCTCCTCCTCCTCCTCCCTCCTTTCCCCCTCTTCCCCCTGCTTCCCTTCCTGCTCCTGTTCGTTTCCCGTTTTCTCCTTCTTTTTCTTCCTCCGATGTTTCTCATGGATTCGATCGCAATGAAGCTGCACAGACAATGAATGATGGATCCAACATTTCTCGAGCGGATCGTCACCGACGTGATGCATTACCCCGAAGACGTCAACAGAGTGCCAATGCTGCCCGACGAAGCAGATCCTTGAGTGACTCGCAAGTCCGTATGAGATCCCGCTCACGATCTCAATCAAGATCAAGTACATCTGTTTCACCTGGAGGATCACGTCACATTAGGTAAGACTGCTGTCTTTGTTTGCTAAAATAGTTGCCGCGCTCTCTTCTGAATTCACCTTTGGTTGCTTGATTCGGTTGTTTGTTCTGTCAGCATGAGAATGCGAAGTATTTTGTGGCTCAATTTACAAGATGAAACGGACGGCAAGTATGGCGGCCCTACCCGCTCCTCCTGCGATGATCCGGATTCCAATAGCTGTACCTCCAGATATATGTACTGGAGGACGTGAGTTGAGCTTTTGGATTATGATGCCAGCGGATTCCACTATTGATGACTTGAAGAAGAAGCTGTGTCGGGAACTTGAGGAACGCACGGGGATACCTCCTCGTTTGAACGCTTCCCAATTATGGCAGTTCGGATACCATTTGCCGTTTACTTCATCGATCTCCCGAGTGTCTGCTTTTGCACACGCTGCCCAGCCAGTCCGATTCGTACGAACATGGCCACACGAATCAGTGAGTTGGACTTGAGACGTTCATGCGACAATGGAACAAATGCAGCGTTTTGCCATGCGATCTGAAGAGCGTATTGTGAGTGCTCTGCCCATAGATCGCAGCAGGTCAATGATTGTAGCGCATGATGCAAGGGAGTTCGTTGTCGCACTGCATAATGGATGTGAGCTCGAGCTTTCTTGAAGTCTTAGGTTTGAGTAGATGTAAGCCCTGTGGTGCCATGTGGGAGCTCTCCATGTTGAATGACAAAATGCTGCAATTTGTCAGCACAAGACGTCATCTCATCTTCTTCTTCACCTTTCCCTCATCAGACCCGCTTGAGCCTTTGGATGTTACTCTTCGACGACATGGATTCTATGCCACGCAGGATCTTGAGCAATTCGTTACCCAATGCAGAACAGAAGGTCTGGATTTTCGCGCCGAGGTGTATGAGTTTTTCATTCAAGGACCATGTGTATATACGCCACTTACTTGTGAAGCTCCAGCGCTACCTCATGTCGTGGTGTATGCGTCCGTATGCAGAGAATGGTATTACTCAGTTATTCGATTGATTGGCAACCGCATCTTTCTCAATGTTCAACAGCTCTGGCGTCTCGCCCAATTACGTCATGCAACGGTGGAGTGGATTCACCATCCAAATGAAGACAGACTACGTATTGGGTCCGCGTTCATTGACGATCTCAATGGCCTGTTTGTGTTATCCTGTTGTACATACGATGGTTTGCAATCATGAAGGTTTTTCATGCATCTCTATTTTCTATTTTTCGCTTTCTCCTTTTTGCATGATGCAGGGGGCCACGGCGTCAGATTCCAGACCGTGCCTAACAAAGCTACGGAATCTGACGGGAAGCAAGGGCTGATCACCCTTGTGTACCTGCAAAAAGCTGGGCCCCTGAGCCAGCAAGATTAGTGAAACAATTGGCTTTCGCCTTTTCCAGGCAGGTTTTAGGTTTGCTCATTGATTTCTTTTACCTGGCTTGCAACATGTGCGATGTGCAGTCTTGCAGCAGTCATGTCGACGTACAGTTGTCACCCACAGAAGGCAGGCGGGTCAGTGGAAGCCTTTCCAGTTGTGTGTGTGTGTGAACAGAATTGGGTGCTGTAAATGCGCAGGAGTATACTTCTTGTGCAGGTTTCAGGTTCTTATACACATGCAGATCACGTCGACAAATCCCTTCTGCACGCATGGCTTGCACAGGTGGTGTCAACGACGGGGGCTGGCTGTCATGATCACTTCTCCTGGATGGTCATGAGCATGTTGCTTTTTGCCGTATTTTCGTAGAAGTGTCGTGCTGAGGCGCTCAATCGGAGACTAGCCGAGGGGCACATTCCCTGTGCGTAGCCACGGTTGGATTTCGCTCCACTGACAGCAGCGAGCCTTGTGCGAGCTTTCCAGGTTCGATAATGGGTCCTGTTGCATGACCAGTATGATGGTAGTGTTACAGGAACGTCACATAGCTCTGGGGGTCTCTGCATGCTGCACCCTTCTCCCCAACTCCATAGTTCGACTGGTGAAAAGTTTAAGTTTACACCTTCCCAGTTCCACTCAGCAATCAGTCGAGAATCCCAGCCTCGAACAGGAAGGCTCCGCATTAATTGCAGATGGGCTCGTCATTCTTAACCATGGGACATGCCGACAAGTGATGTTCCAACGGTGCATGCATAAGTCAGAGATGCCTTTTTCCGGATGCCTGTCCAGCAATGAGAGAATGTCGATTTCACCGTAGATTGTCTCACAAGCGACTTCGTAACACGATGTCGTCGAGCTCCAGCCAAGCTTCCACCAGAACGTGGACAGTTTGCCTGGGTGGCAGGTGGCCAGATAGCTTTGCTTTACAGCAAAAAGGAGATTAAAGTATTAGCCCTTGTTCGTGCGCATAGCACGTGCAGCATGTGCGGCAGGAAGTTGCAGCTCCTTGGTGAAGTTCTGCTGCGTTCCTGTGCAAGGTCAAGAAAACCATGCAAGTCACACGAGGCGCTTGCCAGTGCAGATGTTTGATAATAAAGGTTTGTCGTCCGCGTGTCAGATCAGGGCATGACGTCAAAGACAGAAAGGAGAACTGAGAACACTACGCTGTGATGCTTTTTGGTTCCGGTGCTGCTTCTTCAAAGCTATTGGAGATACGTGCAAGCTAATGGAGAATTGGCATCAGTACCGTCCTGTATGGCGGCTGGGTAATTGAATTTTTTTTGGTTTGCTTCGTTGGAACGGGTTCCATTTTGCAGTCTCCATTGCCAGAAAGTTTTGTAGCCAGTGTTCCCGTTTTGCTGCGAGATGGAGAAGGCTTTCCGTGAAGCAAGGGCCCGATTTGTACCTTGAGCCGAAATGGTTGCGGTGCTTGCATGATGTGTTGTGCACTCGAGACCAAAAGGGTCTGTGGTTCGCACACTTTTTTGGTGCACGGCAAAAAACGTTATTTTTGCTCATGCAATCGACACGCTAACCCTGTCAGCATCGTTCTAGTCTTACTGGATGAACCCATAAAAACATCATTGCAGCATGTCCTCCAAATGACCTTTCCTCCAACCATTCCTCTCTGTCTTTTTAACAGTTCTCTTGTCACAAAGTTCAAGGACATGTGGGCTTGTTGAAATCACCTGGCTCGAACACTACTACTGCAAGTCAGCCTGTAGGCTGTGGACGTCGCCAAAAGGCTCAGTCGGCACAGCATCTGCCTCGCACGGGATCGCACCGTTGTTTATCCTTGTTTCTCTCGTAGTACAACGAATATAGAAGCGTTCGAAGCCTTGGCGAGCGGTCAAGCGCACGCACGGCATATGTTTGCGCCTGGCTTGCTTGATCGTCTTATCCTTGCTGGCATACCAGCCCCGAATCCCGAACCGGCATCTCGCACGCACTGCAGCCTTTATTTGTGCGTTTCAGAAAAATGGGACTTTTTATGATAACCAGATCCCGATCTGAGAAGATCAGCGAGCCGGCCCGACAAGAACAACTCGGGCTTTTGAGAGAAGCAAGGAAGCAGAAGGGGAGATTGAGAATAGCAGCAGCTGCATCTACTTTCGCAGGAAGCACAGCAGTTCCGGGGCATGGGACTACAAATCAAAGTGAATATCAGTAGAAAGAGTGCTCAAGCGAAGTGTCGGACAGCGCCTATCAGTACGCCGGTAGTACTCCGGGATTTGTCCCATAGGAGAGGTGTCAGCTAGGATGGAAGAGCGGACTTGCATCCTTGATGGACTACAAGGCCGCAAGGCCTCCGACTGTGGATTGAGCAGCCGGCAGGTTCTAGCTGATTACCGAGTGTTCAATATCGGTCTTGCAGTCAATACCTCGGCAAACTTTGCCCGAACTCAGAAGGGGAAGGATGCAGGGGGAAAGGGCAACAGATTTGGAAAGAGCCATCGAGAGGATTCGAGTATAAAGGTAATATGACGGGCAAAGCAGTAGGACCCATCGGATATGATCAATGATGCGCACGATTACAAGGTCCAGTGGAGGGGCAAAGGGGATCCAGATCAACTATATCTCTGCGGCTGCCGCAACGGCCTTTCCAGCGCCCCCAACTGTGGTTTGTTCCGGATAGATGCACACATAGAGGCGGCAATCGCAGGAGCCTTAAAGGGTGCGCCACTCGTGCAAGCCTCAATTTTTCGGCGGCAGAGTTCAGCAGGCATCAGGATGGCCTTCTGTGGGACGTTGGTGAAGTGGTCATTCCAAAACAGCAGTTCCTTGGCGAAGGAATTGAGGACGACCTATACTACCAGGCACCATGGTGACGGAAAGCTTTGTTTCGTATCGCGAGAACAATCTTTACAACATGTGCTTGAAGGCTTGAAGGTGAATGGACAGGGCTTAGCCCAGTTGAAGGCTCAAGGCTTCATCGTCCGTCAGGCCGGAGGCCAACTCGACTGGAGCCGTTTTGCAACATGACGTGGCTCAAGAATTCGCAGATCCAGAAACAACTGACAGAGGGCCCGAGCAGCCAGAAGTGGAGAAGATGGCAGAGGAAAGATTTTGTCTCGAAGGCACCAGTAGCATCGTTTCCAAAACCATGTGGTGTATTAGACCTGGTGCGACACGTGCAGCATATGGGTGACCACAAGCGACAGGCGAAACATATCAACAAGTGAAGGGCGAGGCGCCAGACTCGTCGCCGATGAATTTTCATCTTTAAGGTAGTCTGCGGAGGAGGAAAGTGTCCCGATGCTGGTGCTGAGCAGCAACGCGCCTAGTGACGTCCACGGAAGTGTCCCTGCCTGGCTCCGGGCTGATCACGGAGGCGATGGAGATGATGATCACAACGAGGTAGATTTTCCGGCCAGCCTCGTATAAGTTCAAACGCAAATGCCCTTCATGCCGGTACCTCCCCAAAGGGATGAGGATCAATGCTCGTTCAGGTACTGTTCCGGAAAACATCGCATGCCTGCCATTTAGCTCCATCCTGAGGTCCACGAGCCCATTGGACATTGGAATCAGAGCGAGTATATCCCTGCAGCGTCCCCTGGCACAAGTAGGGTGTGCAACACTACAAAAGCCCTTAGATGCGGGCTTGAGGCCAACTCCCCGTAGCTCGCAGACCTCACCACGGAACAAACGTTCCTTGGCTACAGCCTCCGCATGTAGTACTGTTCCGAGGCTAATCCCTCCGCTGCTGCCCATCCTGCCGCTGCTCCTCCTGCTGCTCCGACTGCGACTGCTACTCTGCTATACGGCTGCACTACCGATATATCATCGCTATACTTCGCTACTGCCACTGCTACTGTGGCTAGAAACCTGATACACTGTATTTCAGCTTGCCCAAGAAGCAAGACGCCATGACCTTGAAAAGCGCACCGTGAAACAACCCTGCCACGCGAAGTCTCCGATACACTGCCACCGCACAGAGCGTACCCATTCCAACACCAATCCAGAGTAATGCTGAACCAAAAAAGAAACTAATATGTCTATGTCGCAGCTGTAGCTTAGCTAAGTGTGTCCACTTCTCGCATGTTTGATGAAGTCGTCATTCGGATTTTTGCTTGCGCACAGACACGCACAGATGGTACTTCGGAGCGCCCCAGCCTGTTCTGAAATCCGTGGTGCAAACTACACTGAACAATCCCATGCCTCAAGTTCAGAGTGAAGATATGGTTTGCTGGTTGGCAAGGTCTCCGCGAAAGTCAACTGAAGGAGGCTTTGGCATTGGCAAGCGTGTCCATGGAGGCAGATGTGCATCAGTCTGAAAACGATGTTTGCGCAAAATCGTTAGGATGGGCTTTTAAATGTTTGCCCCGATTCAGAAAGCGGTTCGCCGGGTTACTGAAGCTGGCCGGAGTATACCGGTAAGCTAGCAGCAGTACTGATGTTTGCTAAGAATGAATATCTCCTTTCTTGTTCTATACCGTTTGTGCTCTCTTTTGGTCTTTCTGCTCTCTCTCTCTCTCTCTCTCTCTCTCTCTCTCTCTCTCTCTCAGTCTGTCTCTCCCTTCCCAACCACTATCGGCAGACCAACTCGAAAATCCGGAGTGCAAGGCGGCAGCTTGTCCCTACATCGTTCGCTATTATTCCTCTTGGGTGGAGGTTGGGTCCTGGAGCCAAAAGAAGAGGTGTAAACGTTTCACGCTGTGCTGTCGGATTTGTAGGACAGCCGGCTGCACATCCAGACCGAGCTGTCCGGGCCACGGATCAAGTGCTCACAGACGCACTGTGTTAAAATCGATGTGCCTTGCCGCTGGCAGATGTCAGTGCTCCTTGCGTGACAAACTGTCGGAGCACCAGCAGGACTGCTTGAAATCGGAGTCAAGAAGAGCCAAAAGTATCGTAAGTAGGTGTTTCCAGAATTGCTTAAACATTGGGTTGCGCTGATTGGACAAGCCTCGTCGTCGAGAGATAACACTGTCGGCAGGTCGAGGATGTTTCGTTCCATCGCAGTATGGTCTTTTGGAAGAGCTCTGTGATGATACCTGAAACTCAGAGACAAGCGAGAAAGCTTTCTGCTCCTCAATCTAGGCCGTAATCCTCAAAGCCAAATCAGCAGTGCCTGAATGGCCTTGGGTCTCCTTCAATTCTTCGAACGACATGCCAATGTGGCCGAGATTGAAGTCTGCTTCTACCTGAACAGTAACTATCATCATCAATATGCCGCAAGCGCAAGCCAAACCCTTAGACTCAAGCCCATTTGCCCCTAAGCTTATATAAATTTAGGAACGATGCGGGTGGGAGGATTCTGGGCATGTCTGAGCATTGCAGACTCGCCCCCAAACCAAAAACTGAGTGTGCTGCGGATGCTTCCGCAGTACACCTCCGCCGCTGCCTTCAAGGCAGAAATCAGAGCTGGACGCGTAGGAAGTAGAATTGCACCCAATCCACCCGGCGATTTCTAGGGACCAAGCACAATAGCAAGTTGTCGGCTGCAAACATCCACTCGGCTCTCAGGACTGCGCAGACCCGCGCTTTCAGGAAGGTGAGCTGATTGAGGTGCCCTTTGGATTGTATACCATATCTGCACAGTCTGCACAGCTAGTTTCGAGCGCCAGGTTTTGCAACATGTGGCCAGCGAGCCTGGCGAGCTTAAGCGGAGCATCTGCGCAGTCGGAAGCCACGTCGAAGTTTCTCCGAACCCGATCCGCACAGCACTAGGTGGGCTGAAGAAGCTGTCTCATCCCAAGAGTATAGAGCCTGCAGATGTTGTGCAGTCATCTTTGTGCAAGTTAAGGCACGGCCTGAGCATCGTGCACTTGGACATCAAACCGGACAACATCCTTCTCAGTCGGGGAGAGCCAGGTGTTGCTCAGTCCTTGCGCCGTCAACAAGTCGCAATAGGCGGGACGGCCAGTGACAGCAGGCTATTTCAAAATCGCAGACCTCGGATTGGCAGCAGCTGCGATAGGCCAAACAGCACGCCTGCAGTGATCCCAGGTTCCGCATGCCATTCCCGCAAGGTGCAAGGTGCGATGATATCACTGAAGGAGATTGCCGCTATCTTGCTAAAGAGGTATTGCAAGGCTCGCTCCAGATCGGTCGATCTTATTTGAAGTCTCCTCTTCGCTGCGCCGTGTAGGCGACTTTGCAGATCTTCCTAAAGCAGATGTGTTTTCCCTGGGCCTTGCTGCCATCTCAGCAAAATTGCAGGCGTTCCGATCACATCTTGTGGCTTTGGATGTTACCACACGGCCATGCTCGAGATTTCTGCACTGCTGGATGTTATCTGGGAAGGTGCATTGCACACCTGCAAGTGCGATTGCAAGAATTTGGAGCATTGACAACAGCTGAGACCATCCGCCTAGTGGAGCATCAAGGCCAGTTAGGCCTAGTGTATCCAGCCTGCTGATGGTCATCCCCAGTTGTTCATAGCTTTCGACATTCCTAAAGTTGCCGTGGTGCCAAGGTCCTTTATGAACTGGGCACCAACCCGAACTGCCTTCCAAGCAACGGCCGCCCCGGCGACCATTGGCTTCGGAATTGGTGCATGCTGTGCATGGCGACGAAGGAGCCGAAACTTAACAACGGACTACTGACAAGATGCAGGGCGACTATAGTAAGAGAAAGATGGCCACTGCCTATTGGAGAACTTCGGCGAGACGTGGAAGAAGACAAAACTATGTGTGTTTGGAAATGGCGGTGGCAAAGCTGCGACCCACCATGTCAGGCACTGTCTTTCGATATTTACTCGCCGTCCCAGGCCGGTCATTTCAGGACGTTGCCAATCCCTATTAGTTCTTCTAGATCTAGAGAAGTCTAGATCCACATGGACGCATAGAATGGACTCGCAGCAACAGTCGATCGGAGCACTTCATCCCGACTTGGTACGGCAGCAAGTTTGCTGCGGCTCCACCCATTCTAGCTGTCTGCGCGTGCCACGGCTGCCGGCCTTGTTGAGGTAAGGCAGGAGGTATTGCGAGCTTGACATGATGCATGATCTTGTCCCGCCCTTCGCATCACTCGGAGATACGATGCGGCTCTAATGGCCAAGGTAGCTTGCGCTTTCTGTTGAGCGCTGGCATTGCTGGATACTAGCAGCTCGTAGATGCTGGTGTATGAATCAAATTGTAAGGTGTAGTTCGTGAAAGTGAAGACTGACCAATAGACACAGGGTATGTTCGAGCAACGTGTATTGATGCAAGCTAACCTTCTCATAAAGTCAATTTTTTCAGTCTGCGTCAATGCGTCTGCATATCTGCGGACGTATGAGCAGATTCAGCGTGCCATGCTGACAGGTAGAGACGCTGGCATGCGCGGATAGTCGCATGTGGCTCGTTGATAACTGTTTGGCATGGCACGGTACTGACATGACAACCCGCGATGTTACTCGTTGACTTGTGCCTACGCGAGACATGCAAGCTCTAGTGTGGCTTCATAGATACCTTCGGTTAGGCTAGCATTGCTGCTCTTTTCCGTCTTTGCTGGCATCATAAACGGTATTTCTTGGCTGAGCTATCATCAGGTATCATCCGCATCAGTGGCTCCAGTGACATGAGTACGGAGACTGATGCCAGCGGTTCTTGCATTGCTGTGATGAGGAGACTTTGGGGTTTTGAAAGCAACCAGCACCGAGCAGTGGCTACGCAGCTTCGGTTCTGAGGCCTGGCCGCCTGGCCTCCCCTTAAGCATGGGTTGGCACTGGCCACTGGCACTGTCCAACCAGTAGCAACACAGCACCAAGTGCGTTCGGCGCGAAGGAGGGGATTCGTGAGATGCGAAAGATCGCCAAAAACCACAAGACATCGCATTAGCTCTTAAGCAACCACGCAGTTCGGGAGCATCCATGAGGCGTCGGTTGCTCGTTTTACACCAAGCAAGCGGCCGCCGCCGGGGTATTGTTTTCCCGGCAGTGCTATCGGCTATCGGACTATCGCTGCAGCAATTTGTATAATAGGCTTTTCTCACAAAGCTGCAGGATTGTAGGCTTGCAGAAAAGTTACCCTCTTGGCAGGCCCAGGGTGGCACAGTCTCCGTCGTTCCCTCGAGGTGGAGTCGCTCGGAACGGAGCACGCACGGCACATCCCATGTTGCGGCGAGGTGGCTTTGCTGCCAGAGCTCTCGCCCAAGCTGCTCCAGCTCATGCAAGACCTGGCCCTGCGCCCAGAGGAGGGACTCTATCAACGTGCTGTATGCACCCATATGCTGCAGGTTCCGTAGCCTACACTTGAGAGTTCAACCTGCCATACGTGATTCTGCATGATCCAGCGCCAGCGTCATGACAAGAAGCATCTGCATCTCGAAGCATCATAGGGCCCAGTGACAAGTTCGTGTTTTCGTGCCCAAACTTTATGCGTTGCTGACAATTCTGGGACTATGGTTCGTCAGGTTCAGCCTCGGAAGGAGCTCAGACCAACATGCGAGGCGGGGCGCGAGGAGCCCTTTTGCCATCCAGGTCGAACTCGCCTGAAATTGAAGACTGGTTCTGTGGTTCTAACAGTGTTCGCTGTTTGCCAGCTGAAGATTGCTCAAGCTTGTGAGACGTTGTGAGCTTCGACATTTGGTCGTCGTTGCTGCAGGCAGTGCTGCAGAAGCTGCAAGAAGATGCTGCTTTCTCGCATCCGGATCCAGTGCAGGTCCAGGCATTCCGGGGTTTGCTGGACGGGAAGCCTCTCCTGACATGATGAATGCTCGTGAGACCGGGAGGGGTGATGCAGCATGAGGTTCTAAAGAGTATCACGCCTTTGCAGAGCGAGACTGTTGCTCGGGGCCATGTCGATACATGCTGCAGTTCCAGCACTTTCAAGCGACGGGTCGCTTCAGATTCACCGTCGAAAGCAACTGGTGCCTGTCGCCGTCAACCCTAATCTCTGCTTTTGGGCAGGCTTTGCAAGATGAAGCCAGGCGATGCCGAGAAGAGGTGCCTTCTATACCTGTGCTTGCGGTGCGATATTGTGATAACGGTGCATCGGAACAACAGGCAATGCGAAATCGGCAGCGAGCAGACGAATACTGGCAAGAGATTCTCTGCCTCAAGAAGCAGGACTGGCCAGCATGTTATCTCCACTACATGTTGTGCGAACTTGTATGTAGATGACTGTGACAATCTGTGAGCTTGCAAGGAGCTGATGTACGGGAAGTCCGGGGCACGCCCGTCCAGATCTATTGGCGATGTTTGTAGGCATATTACAGGTTGCTGCCGTTCGAGCCCCTTCACGCAACGATCATTGCTTTGCCATGTTTGCACATTCTCTATACAAACACACACACACACACACACACACACACACACACACACACACACACACACACACACACACACACACACACACACACACACCACACACACACACACACACACACACACACACACACACACACACACACACACACACACACACACACACACACACACCCACACACACACACACACACACACACACACACACACACACACACACACACACACACACACACACACACACACACACACACACACACACACACACACACACACACACACACACACACACACACACACACACACACACCACACACACACACACACACACACACACACACACACACACACACACACACACACACACACACACACACACACACACACACACACACACACACACACACACACACACACACACACACACACACACACACACACACACACACACACACACACACTGACTGATTCGGCCAAGAGAGTGAGAAGAGGAGAGTATGTTGTATGTTGTTTGTCTAATCTGGACACCACAGGGGGCCTGTCCTGAAACTAATCTCGGCACCACAGGGGGCTGCCAAAAGGTTTTGCAGGTACGCCGAGTTGATCAGACTCGGTATCCCATGACTGTGGTAGCTTCGTTGAGTGCGGTCCCACAGCCATGCCGCACTCCCCTGCAATCGTGAAGGAGTGACCCTCTGCTCCCATGTGCTAGGGAGGTTCACACACACACAGCCCCACCTTGGGGCGGCTGTGTGCAGTGAAATAAAGCCACGCCAGGGCTCCAAGACCTAAACGAACCAAAACTAAACCACAAAGCCCTGTGGGCTGCAATGCCCGCTTGCAAATCTTGTCGATGTGGTCCGGAATGTTGTGGTAGTCCAAGATGTAGTGAGGCGTTAAAGTTAGGGTTTAGGACTGTCCTTCAGCTGGGCACGCAAGCCCCCAGAAGCGACAGAGGGGAAGGAAGGCTGATCAGCTGCCCTTGCAAGGGCCCAGATCCAGCCGGGGACTGTTCCTCAGCTGGGCGCGACGGCCCCCAAAGGCAACAGTAAGGAGGGTTGAAGGAAAGACTGCTACCCAGCTACCCTCGAAGGGTCCAGGGCTAGCAGCTTCTGACCAATGTATTGCACATGTGTTTGTATGTTGTAATTAGGGGGTGAGATTAGGGTGAGGACACTCCTTCCAGCTGTCACCAAAGACCCAGGAACGGAGTGACTACTGCCCAGCTACCCGAGCAGGGTCCAAGGCCAGTAGCAGGATTAGGGAACTCCACCCTCCAGCTGTGTAGCAAAAGACACCCAGGAGCGGCGGACCATCCTCCAGCTGTGCAGAAAAGCACCCAGGAGCAATGGAATGAGAGGTACCACGTCCTGCGTGGTCCTCAACTTAGGGTGTGGGGTTAGGGGGAGAGAAAAGCGAGAGGCCGAGTACTCTCCGAAGAGAGCGCTGTTTCACTTGCACTAGCCGTCGATTACTGCAACTGCACTCATGTCGGATGCACATGCCCTTGCATTCCCTGAGAAATAAAGAAGCGGTCGACTACGGGACAGACTAGGGAGGTAGCACCTGCTCACTAGACGCACTTACCGCATTAGCCGTCCATTACCGCACCTGCACTCATGTCAGACGCACATGCGAGCATCAGAGAGAGAGAGATAAAGTAGCATCGGGAGAATCTGAACGATCTGAACGAAGGCTGAACACCCGGTTCATCACCGGTCTCCCCGGAGGGTCACCACGGCGCCATGACGGAAAGCCGTTGCTCTGGAGTCTCAACGACCCACGCTAGTCACACTGACTGATTCGGCCAAGAGAGTGAGAAGAGGAGAGTATGTTGTATGTTGTTTGTCTAATCTGGACACCACAGGGGGCCTGTCCTCAAAACTAATCTTGGCACCACAGGGGGCTGCCAAAAGGTTGCAGGTACGCCGAGTTGATCAGACTCGGTATCCCATGACTGTGGTAGCTTCGTTGAGTGCGGTCCCACAGCCATGCCGCACTCCCCTGCAATCGTGAAGGAGTGACCCTCTGCTCCCATGTGCTAGGGAGGTTCACACACACACACACACACACACACACACACACACACACACACACACACACACACACACACACACACACACACACACACACACACACACACACACACACACACACACACACACACACACACACACACACACACAAACACACACACACACACACACACACACACACACACACACACACACACACACACACACACACACACACACACACACACACACACACACACACACACACACACACACACACACACACACACACACACACACACACACACACACACACACACACACACACACACACACACACACACACACACACACACACACACACACACACACACACACACACACACACACACACACACACACACACACACACACACACACACACACACACACACACACACACGCACACTGATTGATTCGGCCGAGAGTACGAGTGCAAGAGGAAAAAGAGAGGCATGTTGTACTTGTTGCAAGTGCTTGTCAGATTGCGGCAAATGTACAATCATAAAGTTGTTTGTCTAATCTGGACACCACAGGGGGCCTGTCCTTGAACTAATCTTGGCACCACAGGGGGCTGCCATGCAGGTACGTGGAATCAGCGTCCTGATTCCATATCACCATGCTGAAGGAGCGTCTTCGTTGAGTGGTGACTCCGACAGCATGCACCACTCCCCTGCAAACAATCATGTGTTTCAATGAAATAATGTTCAATAAAAGCTTCAGCATCGATAGAAAGGAGTGACCCTCTGCTCCCATGTGCTAGGGAGGTTCACACACACACAGCCCCTGTCGGGGCGTGATCGCACTTTATTTCAGCAGGAACCCGGCGGCAATCATCGTCAGTCGTCAAGCTGAGACATCTACTTAGAAGGACAATCCTTTAACAATTTGAACTGACACCGGCATCTATATTCAGCTCGTACCAGCATCTTAGCGCATGCAGTCTTCGACCCTTTATACATGACTGTGGGGTGCACTACATCATACGGAGCGATGGAGTCAGAAGACCAAGGCTCACGGGATGGCGATCGGTGACAGGCGGCAGCTGCAGTTGTAGATGCTGTAGGAGAGGCTGAGGAAGTTGAGTGCGTCGAGCATGTTCGCTTTTGTTTTGTCTTCTTCGGCTGCTTGTGAAGCTGTTTCGATGATGGTGGCGACGTCGATGCTCTAGTAGGTGATCTTCTTCGACGTTTTTCCTGCTTCTTGGTCTTGCGACTGGTGCGTTTGTGCTTTGTGGAGGGCTTGCGGCTGGTGGAGGTTTGTCGGCCTGCATTGTTGTCATCTTTTCGTTCGTGGTGGCGGATGTCGTAATGCCTGCTGTGTTGAATGTCGTGGTGATGCTCGAAGAAGCGTGACTGTGTGGAACATCCTTCTGCGGGAATGCCTCAAGTTCTTCTGATCCCCACGAGCTGATGTCGTCCCCGTCTTGGTGCGACGCCATGTCGGGCAAAAGGTACGTAAATATTTTTACATAAATGGCTGCGGGAATACAAGCAAGGCAATATCTCATTCATGTGTAAGAATGCAACGGCAACAACATGGTGCCGACTGTGTTCATAGCAAGTTCTTCAGCCATGCTCTTAAAGTGGGGTCCCACATCTTCACTTGAGATGATGTGCTGGTACAGCTTTGCTGTGTAGTGTCGCTGCTGTAAGCAGCAAGTATGCATTGAATTATCAATTCAGCTGTGGTACTCATGGAGTCCGAGATCTCTTTCTCTTGTTGCATGTAGGCGTTGTCGTATTCGAGTCTGCATCCTGTGTAGTGGTAGTAGGGGATGCTGCACACCGATCAAGTTGTTGTGAGTGGCTGCGTATCCACTCCTGAGAAGCAATGAAGTATTCTCGCCACCATGAAGATCCGTTGGTGGCCCAATGCCATCTCCATTCTGACGCGCGCGGAGAGCTTGATCTAGTGCGTCGATCCATGATAATAACACAACAGGTTGCAAGCTAAATGGCTGCGGTCAGTGATATGTGAATGTTCAATGGCAGAATGTCATGCATGTAGCTTGCAGCTGCTCGCGGTACAGAATGTAATGAATGCGGCTTGCAGTTGTTTTCAACGCAGGTGGAAAAGAAACGTACATATTCCAATTCAGCTGGCTGTCTTTACGACTGTATCAGAGCTTCGAGTCGTTCGACTCGGTCCTTCAGCTCTGAAATTTGATTGTTTTTTGGAGTAATAAACTCGGCCAACTGATCACGGAATGCCCAGTCGCTAAAGGTGGAGACTTCACTGCCAGTGTCGGAGCCGTGCTCTCGGCGTTCAGTCAACATCTCCAGGAGTGCTTGGGTGAGAGCCTCACGTCGTGCCTCATCCATAACATGTGGAGCCGTAGTCGTTGTCTCTGTCGGATTGGATGCATCACTCATGGCTCCAAGGTTGAAGGGGGAGCGTTGTGCAACTGAGGCTAAAGCTGACATCAAAAATACAAGTGGCTTGCTGTATGATGCTCTTGCGTAGTCAGAATAGGGCAACTTTTTCATAACGCCTCGCATGGATCCACACCTACGACCAGTCTGGCGCGTCCTGCCTCATTAGGCTCTCGAGAATATCAAGTTGCTGTTTGCACGAAGCCATGATTGCAGTAGTGGCTTCGTGTTGAGTTGTCAACACTGTCGTGGCTTGTTGTATCAAGCGTTCAAGCTTGGCGTTCGACTCAAGCAAAGAGTTGTGAAACTGATGCAGCAAATTAATAATCTCCGTCGTGTCCGTCGGGGCAGGTGGTGCGTCAGGAGGATATGGTGGAGTAGTCGGCCCTGGAACGTTGGGTTCAGGAAGGTCTTCCGGATCTTCCAGTGGTTCCTGGTGCTGCTCGACATCCTGTTGCTCTTCCTCCTGTTGTTCT